GTACTAATTATATCAACTTTGATTGGGATGAGGTTCGAACCTAAGACCTTTCTTATTGAAATCAATGAGTAAGTTAACGGTGAACTAAAAGAAATTAACGAAAAAGATAATATTTAACGGAAAATCATATTCATTAAGGATAAATTAGGAAATCTTAAGGAAAAATTAAAATCTGATCAATCTGAGCCATTCATTTGATTAAAAAACTTCACCGCCATTTTTTCTACCCATAATAGGCCTAACTCTCTTGGGCTCTTATTAGTATAGTATATATATATATTGTTATTAGTATTCATTTATTATATAAGTTTATGTATATTTTATAATTAAAAATGCATAATGAATTAAACTTCTTCTTATTATTAACGCCAGGAATAATTAACAGGGGGCAAATAAGAGAATTGACAACAATACGGACGGGAAGGGAGAAACTGCTCTAAATATTAGACACACAATAAATATTATTACGGTATACTGTACATAGAGTACTGCCTGGATGTAGAGTAATGGTAAGACGTGTGCATGATCATATGATTTAGCGATCCGTGGAGAGGGGTGGTGGAGTTCTGTGTAATGAAATATAAAACCGGAGACAAACACTAGGAAAACTCATCGCCAGCAAAGAACAAACTACCAAGAAATTAATAGAGCCCAGGTTTGTTGAATGCTGATCAGTTTCATTTTGCTGCATACTGTGTGCCATGATTATATATTTCATATGCACGATAGCTTTTTGTCATGTGCCACTGTCTGCCACCATACATAACGACCTCCTCCCATTGACAAGAAATTAATAGAGCCTAGGTTTGTTGAATGCTGATCAGTTTCATTTTGCTGCATATTGTGTGCCATGATTATATATTTCATGTGCACGATAGCTTTTTGTCATGTGCCACTGTCTGCCACCATACATAACGACCTCCTCCCATTGACAAGAAATTAATAGAGCCTAGGTTTGTTGAATGTTGATCAGTTTCATTTTGCTGCATACTGTGTGCCATGATTATATATTTCATGTGCACGATAGCTTTTTGTCATGTGCCGCTGTCTGCCACCATACATAACGACCTCCTCCTACTGACAAGAAATTAATAGAGCCTAGGTTTGTTGAATGTTGATCAGTTTCATTTTGCTACATACTGTGTGCCATGATTATATATTTCATGTGCACGATAGTTTTTGGTCATGTGCCACTGTCTGCCACCATACCTAACGACCTCCTCCTAATGACAAGAAATTAATAGAGCCTAGGTTTGTTGAATGCTGATCTGTTTCATTTTGCTGCATATTGTGTGCCATGATTATATATTTCATGTGCACGATAGCTTTTTGCCATGTGCCGTATGCAACCATACCTAACGACGTGCTCCTATTGAAATTTTACACACATTGCGGTAGATGAGGGAACAGAGAACGATAACGGAATATATCTTGGAATAACAGAAGAAGCAATCCCAGAATGTGAGGACTCATTAAAGCCATATCGTGGGAAACGTTTTGAGAACATAGAGCAAGGCGTAGAGTTTTACAAACAGTACGCACATTAATCGGCGAAAAAAGTGAGTTGTCATATTAAAGACAAAGAGAAAGTACAAAATCACCCTTGCCTATCTACACACCTAGCGCACGTGGGTTTTATTAACAAAACATCTGAATCGTTAAAAAATCAAAATCAACGATCAGGAAGTATGCGCACGGGCTCGGCTGACTAGGGGGTGTGCACCGGATTAATATATATATATATATATATATATATATATATATATATATATATATATATATATATATATATATATATCATAAGATTTTATAGAATTTTCCATTAAGGGTCCGTATGGAAACCCGTAAAATGGCTTCTGGAAAATATTTTCCAATCGATGACTTGTCTAGAAATATTGTTATGCAAACTGGTACCCAATTTGAAATGAATTTCAAGATTCGGAAGCTTGAGGAAAAGATAGGAAAGTTGAACAGTCAAAGCATTAAGCAGTCTTTTCTCTCCCTTTCTCTCCCTTCTCAAAGACAAGAAGATTGAGAAGACAAAGCAGCTGATGAACAAGATGGGGAATGACCCAGGCCTTGAAAGGACCAAATCCGTCTAGGAGATGGAGAGCGACCAGGTCCAAATCCGTCAGAGTCGATACATATTTTCATTTTGTTATTTTCATTTTGCTTTTGCTTGTAAGACGGTTTCAGTGCTTTGTTAAGATTTTCAGACGGTTTCAGTTGCATCCTTTTCAGTTGAATTTCTGTCTTGCCACGATATAATTGAATGCATATGTGAAGATAAAAACCTGCCATGTATTTTGTAGATGCTAAGCCGTGTTTGTCAAAGATGGAGCACATGCTTCAATTTGGTTTCAGAGCCAGACCAAAGGTCATGGGTTCGAATCTCACGCCACCAATAAGTGACTACGGTCCGCGTGTTGTGCAATCCAATTATCAGCTTAGGCTTTTAGTTGAGATGGAGCACATGCTTCAATTTGGTATCAGAGATTGTTGAGTATATCGCTATCAATGTGCAATCCAACTATTAGCTTAGGCTTTTAGTTGGGATGGAGCACATGCTTTAATTTGGTATCAGAGCTAGACCAAAGGTCATGGGTTCAAATCTCTACGTCATCCCATAAGCGACTACGGTCCACGTGTTGTTTGGAATCCACCGCACACGTGAGGGGGCATGTTAAGCATATAGCCATTAATGTGCAATCCAACTATCAGCTTAGGCTTTTAGTTGAGATGGAGCACATGCTTCAATTTGGTATCAGAGCCAGTTGAGATGCAACACATCCTTCAATTTGATATCAGAGCCAGTTGAGATGGAGCATATGCTTCAATTTGGTATCAGAGCCTGTTGAGTATATCGCTATCAATGTGCAATCCAACTATTAGCTGAGTATATCGCTATCAATGTGCAATCTAACTATTAGCTTAGGCTTTTAGTTGGGATGGAGCATATGCTTTAATTTGGTATCAGAGCCAGACCAAAGGTCATGGGTTCGAATCTCTACGTCATCCCATAAGCCATGAATTCCAAAATTCAATTGATTGGTCTGATTTATTTTTTATCCATCATCTTCAGAATGCATTAAAGTTCTATATTCGTACTGCACATAGGTAAGTCATAAGTGTAGGATATTATCATGAATTTCAAAATTCAATTGATTAGCATGATTGGTCTGATTTCTTTTTTATCCATCATCTTCAGAATGCATTACAGTGCTATATTCGTACTGCACATAGATAAGTCATAAGTGTAAGATATTATCATGAATATAATATTGAATTAGAACACCATATTCAGAGAGATCATCTTGAATTAGACATGCCTTGCACAATTCCTATGTTCAATTCCAATTTTTAATGGTTTTAAGCTTTATATGTGTATGCCCGTGTGCTTTCTGATTGTGCATTTGTACATGAGCTACTAGTCGAGATCAGAAACAAAAATCTAAAAATAGATACAGAAAACAGTTTCAATTATTTATGTTTGTTGCTTTATATTAAAGGCTTGTTGTTTGTTTCTTTCCTACAGTCAGGTAGAAAAGAAACAATTCTAGATTTGGCAAAGTTCGTTGACAAGGGTGTGCAAGTCAAGCTTACTGGTGCCAGACAAGGTTAGTTGTTTTCTTTTCTTTCTAAGTTTTCCAGAAGCCAAAAATACACTTGCTTTGATTTGTTGTGTTATACTTTGGTTGCATACCTTAGAATTAATGACAAGTATGAAAGAGAAAAAGAATACAAAGGATCCATGTGAGCATATATGGGAGCACTGAGATTATTTTATTTCTTTGTTATTACAATTCACCACCATGCATTGGTTATATTATGCTTTATAATTCCATTTTGCACTATCATGCTTTTTTAATATCACAACTGAGTCCTTAAAAGCTTTGACTTACTATTACAAATCTGCAATAGAATATAGACTTGAATAGAAGAAGCCTTTCATTTGACTATGTTGTCGTTTTTTTTTTTTTTTTAATTTTTTTTTTGTTTGTATAGATGGATAAAAATCATGTGCATGCAATTATATATATATATATATATATATATATATATATATATATATATATATATATATTTTTATAGCAATCTCTCACTCATTCCTGTATGCCTTTGCCCTTAGCATAACCTCTGTTTTGTGAAAAACATGAAAACCACTAGCTAACACACTTCATCTTCATGTTAGATAATCGGGGTTATGGCCAACCAAGATAACATAGCGGAGGAGTTGGATGCGTTGAAGGTTATCGCTAATGAGTTGGAAGGGGCCGTCCACGGGCTGAAAAGTGATGTTCATGAACCAGGCAACAAGGCTAAGGTGGAGGATAGTTTGTTTTCCTTGGAGCAGGGGTGAAGGAGTTTCAAGAGATAATTGATCAATTGAATAGCTCTGAGGGGATAGAGGATAGGTGGGCGGCCATGGTTCAGATTGTTAATGTGTTGCATAACACTCTTGACAACGTGCATGGAGCACTCAAAATTGAAGGTGGCCTCGATGACTTGTCTAGAAATATTTTTAAAATAACTGCTATCCAATTTGAAATGAATTTCAAGATTCGGAAGCTTGAGGAAAAGATAGGAAAGTTGAACAGTCAAAGCATTAAGCAGCTGCTGAACAAGATGGGGAGTGACCCAGGCCTTGAAAGGCAATCCGTCTAGGAGATGGGGAGCGACCAGGTCCAAATCAGTCGGAGTGGATACATATTTTCATTTTGTTATTTTCAAGACGATTTCAGTGTTTTGTTAAGATTTCGTGTTTGTCATATTTGAATATCGACATTTCCTCCCATACAAAGAGAGACCATTGAGTTATTTTCTCCTTCCTCCATAGTAATTGTAAGAGTAGCAAGTAATGGCCATCCTTGTTTTTTATTTTTATTTTTTTAAATAGCTTATGTCTGTGTGTCCTCCACAACCATCGTTGTTACCCCTTTGATCGGCCACTTGGCCAAGCATTCGCAACCGCTTTATTATTGTCCTCCACAACTAATCTTTGCTCAGTTCGACGGTCGACCGACGCTGTCATCCCCTCAAAGTCTCAGCTGAAAAGCAGAGCAAAGAATTCAAAGCCCTTCAATATCAAGGTAAAAACATGCATATTAATGGTGGTCGATTGTTTTGGCCTTTATTAGTTCGTGTTTTAGCCATAACTTATACGTTTAAGTTGTTTAAGGTTTATTGAATCCAATGCTAAATTGTTGTGAAAAATGGATTTTTAGAGCACAACCATGGGAAAGAAGCGAAAACACAGCGAGCAGATAACTGCTGATGCTAATAAAGATGAAAGTGTACCAGAGAGGCCCAAAAGAACCCTTTTGGGATGGAAAGATGAAGGTGAACCTGAAAAAGAAAGCGTTTCTGTGGGTATTCTCTGTTAGAGATATGGAGTGTTTGATGATAGGGAAGTGAGGAAACAGGATCTTCAGGCGTGTGATCACTTTCCTATAAGCTTTAAATCTCCCTTATACTAAGCAAGGTTCAAGATTTAATCTTATGGGATACAAAAAGATGATGAAATTCTTAAGTTACTTTGTTTAAGAATTTCCTTAGAAATGCAGTACTGTGAAATATCTCAGTCTTATGCAAGTTTATTACATGTATCTTTTCAGACATTTCTCCAAATATTTATAGATGCAAACAAAGCAGTTTGGAGAAGTTACATGGAAGTTAATCATTTAAATTTAAAATTTAACTTCCATAAGATATATCAAGCATGGGAAAAAATAACTGAACCATATACATTATCATTAAATATGAACCTACATAGGTTCATGCACAACATACAAAATAACAAAGTAAAATATATATATTATATATATTTATTATAACATTGCATGTTATTACCATGCAAAGTAAATAATTAATATATATATATATATATATATATATATATATATATATATATATATATATAATAAAGATCCATGCATTCAGCACATATGAAAGCAAACAAACGAAAGCAACATTCGATAATTTCATTAAGGCCGAATCATGAATATATATATATATATATATATATATATATATATATATATATTACTTTTGTTCGACATGCATGCTCCAACATGGAAATCAACGAAAGTTTCCAAATTAAAACCAAAGTGAACTTACGTGCATGTACTTACATAGCCGAAAGTGAATTCTCATTTAACGAAAGTCCACTTTCGTTAGCTTCGATCATCTGGCCGAAAGAAGCATTTGGCCGAAACTTCATTTTGCCGAAAGTGAAGTTTAATGGCCGAAACCATACGAAAAACATATTTCCCATTTTACTTTCTACCAAACTAAAATAATATTTATAACTCCACAACTCCAAATATTATTTAAGCTTTCTTGGTAGTCCATCTGAAACATTAATCTCCATTACTATATAAATTTCTAACATTCTCAGAAATAAAGAGAAGGTTTTAATCACCTTTAGCCGCCGCATTAGCTACATGTTATTATTTTTAGGGGTTTATTATTGGGTTTGTTCTATTATTACAAGTTTTATGATGATATGTAGATTGATTCTTTCAATTTTGGGGATTTCAGATATCGGCACCTCACTACTAGAAATTTTGAAATTTCTGACCACCTAAAGGTGATCTTAAATCAAATCGAAAGTCTTGTTCTGACCACTTTTGGTATCCGGAAAAACTTTTGTTGCTATTTCCGACCACTTTTTGGTTTCAACTTGATTTAAGATCACTTTCAGGTGACCGAAAATTCTATAATTTCCAGTAGTGCCTGATGCTGAATTTGGTATCACTATTGCCTCATTGTAAGAAAGACAACAAAGTGGAGTCAAAGAGCAGTAAAGGTGCAACCTTGAACGAGCTGGTTGAGCTAAAGAGCTGCTCATCTTGTTTGTTTTTTGAGGTATTTGTGACTTTATCATCAGATTCGTTCTTGTCTAAAGGTTAAACTTGTGTTTTGTAAGTATGATTTGGTTAAGCTAAGGAATTGTTTGTCTTGTTTGTTTTTGAGACATCTCATGATTTTATAATCAGATGCTTGCCTAAATATTTATGTTAGTAGTGTCAGTGGGTGATTTTTATTGTGTCATGGGAGACTTCAATTTTTTCGATGTTGCATTTACATTTTTCCTCGAGTCTTACTGAATAAAGTAAGTTCTGTTATTTTTTACATTAACACATTGTGTGCTTGCCTTAATTTTTGAACAGATATCTTTTCCCCACAGTGGCGCACAAAAATTAGACGGTGGAGACCTAGAAAAAATGACCCTTGTTGAGGTTTGTAATCATAACTCTTGATTTTTATATAGCAACAAACATCATAATCTTCCTGATTAAATCCTAATTATTCCCTTTCCCATTTTTGTGCATAGGTTGGTCCATGGTTCTGCTTGAATCCGATAAAAATATTTGGTGGTAGCTTTGGAGGCTCGACACTTTATGAGAATCCATTCTATGTTTCTCCAAACCAAGTAAGTGCCATTGTTGTTCTCTAATCTCTGCATGCAGAACCTAAGTGCATTGCTTCTAGATGATGTAAGGCGGCTTAGAGAGTCTTTGACTCACCAATCAGGTCACATGAACCTTGTTTGGTTATATAAGCAATAGTTATAAGTAGGATAAATTGCTTCAATTAATCCCTTCAGGATAAGTTCTTTTCGGCAAGTAAAAACAGCTCGTATGGTTATATGGGGTTAGTCAGCTCAACTGGCTTCTGAAAAGCTTTAGTGAGCTCGTTCTGACATGTATGTTGAAACAAATTATATAGATGAGCACAAATTATATTTATCTTTCATGCGTGGTTCCAGGTACGATCATTAGAGAAGAAACAGAAAGCTGGCAGGTATGCGAAGAAGGTGAAGGCAAAGACATTTAAGCGCAGTGAGGAATCATAGTCTCACATATGCCTCTTTTACCGACCCCTCTTTTCATCTCGCCATTGAATTGCACCATCATCATCATCTATGTTGCCATAGACATTTCTTTTTGAGAAAAATTAGTATGAGTATTAGAAAGGATAACAAAAAAGAAGGCATGTGATGTTTTTATGCGTTTTCAGTTGCAGAGTTGTTGTATCGTGGAAATCACATCACAACAAATTTTGAGTTTTTGAATTTCTTTGGAAATTGTGACCTAGTTTTAATGTCTTGAGCTTTTGTCAAGATCTAAATTTGGGCTCGCCAGCAAGTGATTGCGTCCTTCGTTACCTTCTATTACATCTACCATCTTGTAGACTAAAGGGTGCATTTGCTGTCGGAATCAGGAAATACCCAATTTGGGTAGCATAAAAAGGAATGTCGGTTTTTAATTTTTGGCGGGCGGACAAAGGCATTATACGGTTTTTAATGCGGTGATAAGGATAGGGTGTTGCTATTCGCACCACCCTTTGACCAAAAGTGGATATAAAATATTTTGAAATTGTAAAAAGGTGAAAACTTTTAATAATTGCATAGGTGGTGTAAATAGCCAAATAAGGATTTATTTTGCTATTTGCACCACCTTGACCAAACCTCATTTATGAGATATAATTAATAATATTTTAATTCAAAACCTAATTAATTAAAACATTATTTTTTATTTTTTTTTAAAAAGATGAACCCAGTCACTGTTTTTCTTTTGTTTTTTGTTTTTTTTTTTTGTTTTTTTTTTTGTTTTGTTTTTGTTTGTTTTAATGCCTAATTATTTATGCAATATTTTTTAAGGTATAATTAATAATATTTTAATTCAAAACTTAATTAATTAAAATATTAATTTTTTTTTTTAAAAAAATGAACCCAATCACTGTTTTGCTTTTTTTTTTTTTTGTTTGTTTGTTTGTTTTAATGCCTAATTATTTATGCAATATTTGTTTAAGTTTCAATAAATAATTTTTTTTATTATTACAAAGGAAGGGAATACCCATACGACCTATGCCTACAATGAGGCTCAAAATCTAGACCTCCCACATAGGGGAACAATCCGATACCAGTGGACCACAAGCCACTTGGTAATAAATATTTTTTTTTAAGTTTCTATTTTCAATACATCTTTTTTTTTTTATTCAATATATATATTTTTTGTTCAATACATATATTTTTTTTAAGTTACTAATTTTAATACATTTTTTTTTTAAGTTTCTAATTTCAATACATATTTTAAGTTTATAATTTCAATACATATTTTTTAAACAATTAGTCAATATTGATGTTTGTGAGATGAAATTACTGATAATTTGGGCGGCAGAGAATACAAATTGAACTCATATGAGTCTATATATATGTGGGGTGTGTGTTATGTATATGTATCACACAATCTATAAGTCATGGATGATTGGATAGAAGATTTTTTTAGTTACAATAATCAGAATCAAAGCCAGTTACTTAGTTACAATGATCAAAATCAAAGTCAAGGACATTATGAGGTATTTTAAGTTGTTATTTGAATTTGAATTGTTATTTATTTCTATGGGTGTTGCTATTTGTATTTTAAGCCACTTTGTTCTTGCTTGCTAGGTAATTAGGATTCATTTAAATTAGATATAATTTCTCAATTGACTAAATAACAATCTCTTTGTTCCATGTCAAGAGAGAAAATTATAGTATAAATAGTAATGAATTTGGGATTTTATTTATTGGGTGACTGGTGAGTCTATCTATATACTGAATTAATTTAATTTGTTGTGAATATAGTTGTAAATTAATCAATTTATTGTATTTATAGTATAAAAAGATAGGTAAAAAAAATCAATTTATTGAGTAATATTGAGTACATAGAGCAATATATACTACAAAGAATACACAATTGTTGGAAACTATTCTACAGAGACGGAAGGACAACCATAAATACAAAATTCAAAATAGAAAGAGTGTAGGAACGCATGCAGTAGACTTATTTTATGATTAGAAGCCTTGACCTCAACTTATTTTATGATTAGAATTTTAACTACCTCAAAATTGTTAGAACTCTAATCCGCATATCTTTATAAATTGTTATAGTATTTACAGTATAAAAAGATAAGTAGAAAATCAATTTATATTTCAAAGTCTCAATAGAACTCTAACCCACATATCTTTATAGAATTTTAACTACATCAAAATTGTTAGAACTATAACCCACATATATCTTTATAAAATTATTACGGTATTTAACGTATAAAAAGATAGGTAGAAAATCAATTTATATTTATTCATTTCAAATATCACTAGTAATCAATTTATAGTTAAATCAATTTAAAATAATGTATACAACAAATTTGTGTTATAAAAAAAATATTAGAATAACAAAATTAATTATTATTTCTCTTTATTTAAAACTAAAACATAAACAAAAATAAGTATTGAAAATATAAACTTAAAAAAACACGTATTGAACAAAAAAAGATGTATTGAAAAAAAAAACTTAAAAAAAAATGTATTAAAAATAAAAACTTAAAAAAATATTGCACAAAATAATTAGGCATTAAAACATAATAATAATAAGGGAAAATGGCACTTTTTCCCCCTTTGTTATATACTTATAGCACTTTTCCCCCCTAAATTATTTAAGTGGCAGTTTTTCCCCCTGATATATTAAATGGACATATTTACCCTTAAAATAAATATTTCATTTATTTTTCTTCTCCAACAAATTATAACCACTATTTGAAAAAATAAAATACATTAAGTGTTAAATTTAGAATATTTTAAAAATAAAAAACTCAAATCGCGATTATATATACTTATATGTGAGAGTCAATATAAATGCGGAAAAAAACATGCACTATTTGCAAATATTATAATTCTAATTTAAGCTATTGCTAGTAGTTGTTCCGATTTGAACCTCCGGTTCACGGTTTAGGATCTATTTTTTTCCAGTTCACGATTTTAATAAACGGAAACTCAAATATTGGGTTATGTTATGAATCATAACCGAAATTTTTTAATTTGATTGCTATAGTGTTTGGTTTAGTTCGAACCGAACCGTGGTCATCCCTACGTATAAGCAATAATTTGGTGAAGAAGAGAAATAAATAAAATATTTGTTTTAAGGGTAGAAATGTCCATTTAATATTATAAGGGGGAAAATCCGCCACTTCTATAATAATTGAGGGGGTAAATGTGAATGCATGAATAACTCAGGGGGAAAAAGTGCTATAAGCATATAACACAGGGGGAAAAAGTGCCATTTTCCCTAATAATAATAATAATAATAATAATAATAATAATAATAATAATAATAATAATGAGATTGATTATTAAATAAAAATTAAAAAATAAAGATTAATGTTTGACTACATTTAATGAGGTGGTGCAAATAGCACTTTTTTATTTGCACAATCTATAAAGCTATTACACCTATTAAATAGGGGGTGTAAATAGCAAAATGATTGGTGCAAATAGAATTTCCCTAAGGATAATGCCTTTGGCGGGCGGACAAAGGCATTATACGATTTTTAATTTTTTTTTAATTAATGCGCAATAAATACGGTAGGTATACTCCACTCAATTCTCTCCCATTTATTGTGTTATTATTATTATTATTATTATTATTTAAGAAAAATATAGGTATTGACAATACAATAGTTATACTGTGCAACCGAATGCACCATGCGCATGGTGCATACGATGCAAAACGACGTCGTTTTGACTAAAAACGCGCGTTTCACTTAAAAAAAAATTCAGGTTCGATTATCGGCAATAGCATTATTGTGGATACATAGTTATGAATTTCTAGATATATAGTTATGAATTTATGAATATTTAGTTCATTCATTATATTGTGGATATTTAGTTCATTTATTATAGATATTTACTTCATTCATTCACTGTGGATATATAGTTATGAATTTATGGATATATAGTTATGAATTTCTGGATATATAATTATGAATTTATGGATATTTAATTCATTTATTGTGGATATTTAGTTCATTCATTGGGGATATTTAGTTCATTCATTGTTGATTTTTACTTCATTCATTCATTGTGGATATATAGTTATGAATTTGTGGATATATAGTTATGAATTTATAGATATATAAAAATGCTATTTTTGAAAATCAAACCTGATTTCTTTTTTAAGTGGGACGTACATTTTTTAACCAAAACAACATCGTTTTGCGTCGTATGCATTATGCGCATGGTGCATTCGGTTGCACAGCATAATTTTCTTTGACAATAACAGCAGGCCATTTTCTTCATAAATCTTGTGGTCCTTCTCAATGATTTTAATCCCTTTTGCTTGTGGTCCCAAATACCGGGTATTGACTGAATATTTGAGCATTGTGCTCCATCGGTCGGCGGGGTGGCAGACGGCAGTAACAGTACTTATTAATTTTTTTTGGTAATAATTATTTAAGTATTATTAGTTAATAATTACAATAATGATTAGTTAGTTATTATTTATTATTTTAAACAATACCGGTGATTGTGTTTATGTGTATGTATTTTTATACATGTCTCTGGTATAAATTATTTAGGGGGTGTTTGGTTCAGGTTATATAACATAACCAAGGGAATGTGACATTCTAAAGTTCACATTCCGGTGTTTGGTTCATATTATCTTAGGGAATCTAACATTCCCAAGGAATGTCACATTCCCTCCACACAGGATTTTGAAGGGAATGTGATTCTCTTCAAAATCTTAGGTAATGTAAGATAACCTTAGTTATGTTAGTTTATTATATATATATATATATATATATATATATATATAATTATTTTTGTAATTATATATATTTTTTATTTTTATTATGTTATGTTAGCATATAAAGTAATTTTGTTTCTCAAGTTCAAGATTTTAGTTAATATTTTAAAATAGAGTAAATACCAGCCAAGGTCCCTCGAGTTTGATGGTTTCACCACCTATAGTCCCTAACTTCCGTAATTACTATTTGTGGTCCTCCGAGTTGAGAAATCTGACCTGCTACCATCCTTCC